AGGAGAGATATCTGGAAGGAAGGAATGTTATTCAAGAAAATGTCTCCATTGAATTGGCCTGCAGGTAAATCTGTAGGGCCTTTCCTTGAGTGGTGATTGATATGGGAAAGCCTGGCCCATTTTGGGTATTTGCATCTCTTAGCATGTGGTCCTGAGGTTGAACAAGAAAACAAACTGAGCAAGCCCTAGGAGCAAAGCCAGCAAAACAGCATTCCTGTATGAAATCTGCTTCAGTTCCTTCCTCTAGGCCTTGAGTTCCTGTTCTGACTTCTCTCAATGATGAACTGAGATGTGGAAGCTTAAGCTAAACAAACCTTTCCTTCTCAATTTGCTTTTTTGGTCAATCTTTTTTAATCATAGAAACAAAAACCCTACCTGAGACATACAATTTCAACCATATTTTCTACCTACTCTACATGCAAAACTGTTTATTAAAAATGCAGTAGAGATATAAAAAGAAATCTAGTTCCATATCTGTAGCACTTCTATCTATCCAGAAAATCAGAAAACAAACCTCATACACATACCGCCACCACCATACCAACTTGTTCTTCTTCTTAAAAACATTCCTTATTTTTTATTTTTAATTATTTTTTACTTGTGTGACTATTTTACCTGAATGTATGAGTATCATATATGTATCTAGTGCTCATGAAAATCTAAAGAGGATGTCAGATCTCCTGAAACTTGAGTAATGGATGGATGTGAGCACCAAATACAAGTTGTCTGCAAGAGTGGCAGGTGTTCTTAAATGCTGAGCTTACTCCCCAGCTCAAACATTCAGCTAGCTTTATCAGAGCAGTTTGGTCAAAGTGTTAAATGGTAACAGGAACAGAAAACTGTACTCCTTTGTTTATTAAAAGAATTTCAAGGAGGCAATGCCATTTGACCTAAATTATGAAACAGAATTCACTTATGTGCTAAGAAAAAGAGGTATCATATGGTAGAACTCAACCTTGCTGTGCTCACATTTAGAAGGAAGTCACTTGCTAACCTGAATGTGTAACATTCAGTTCTACTAACAATCTCTTCTGCTTTCCTGGCTTTATATCTGCTAGGTGAGTCTAGGTATTCATGTGGCTGGGTATATTATAATGGAACAATCATGGCTATTTTCCCAACACGAGGATTTTCTTTCTCACCTCCTACTTAACTACATATTTTGCCTTCTAGAAAAATTCTGAAATGTCAACTTCTTGGTCTCGTCCTCCCATGCTATTAATGTGTGTAATATAACCATGTCATGTCCAAAGAAATACATTGATGAAGGGAAAAGGTATTTCTATACTTTTGTTTGTTACCCTAATCTTTGATGGCTTAGGCCATTTCTCCAGGGTGAAATAAATATTCAAAAATATATTTTACTCTTTCTAAGTAAAAAGACACAAGCAAAAATAAAACTGATATCAGGTGAGACAATTCAGTGTGTACAGCCATCTCTCACCAAGCTTGACAAATTTAGTTCAATCCATAGGTTATGGTAGAAGGAGAAAACCAACTCCCACATGTACTCTGACGTACACACACACACACACACACACACACACACACACACACACACGCACACAGGTTCTCACACACACTAATAAAAAAACTAACAACCATTTGGCTACATGTCATGGGTTATATGCAGATGTGACATTTATTGTATTTATTAATTAACACTCACTATCAACTAATAACACTGGAAAGGAAAAATTCGTATTCTGACTATATATGATACTTTTAGCAAGAACTGAATGGTATCAAGAAGTAAGTATGTACCATTACCAAAAGCCTTTCCTTTCAGACCACTACATCATTATGGACTTGTTGTCTAAACTATGCTTAACACTGAAAGACTGAGTATTGCTAGATATATGTAACGTTGTAACAATTTATTAAGTAGTTTTGTAATTGTGAACAGGAGTGTCACTTAGTTCATTTGGAATCAGTCACTTTAGAGTATAATATTTAGAAAATTTAATGAGTATCTAATATTATAATATGTTATTAGATGTTTGCATATTCCCAAGAATAATACATACTTATTATATTTACTGTATTAGATTGGTTGAGATATTAACAATGGCACCAGAAATGGTTGACTATGAAAGATTATTTACAGCACTAAAGCAATAAGGTTTATTAATCTATAGTTTCTTCAGGAAAAGCATAAAAGTCAAAGATGAATTCAAGCTTATACTATGGACAGTTCAAAAGAGAACAGGCTATTGCACCCATTTTCTTTTAGTCATGGCTATAACAAGCAGAGACTCAGCTAGGTTTGACACACTCTGCTGTTGTCATAGGTCATTTTCTTATTAACTAGCTCTAATGTCAGAGCCCTCTGGAGGTGCCCCTGTGGGCAAGTGTGGAGGACTGTCTCTCTAAAACAAGTGTAAATAATTAATCTTTTAGTAATGAGTAATTGATGGTGAATAGATGGTACAAGCAATTCCCTAGCTCTCCTTGGACCTGTGCTGAAAAGCCAACACTGTCAATCAATATATTTCACAAATTTCATACTTTAGTCATTGTTCAGTAATGAGCATGTACATTTCTTACTTTATCAGAACAATTCATAGTCATTTCACCTATGTTGGAATTAACTTTCACATCACAAGTAACTATTTTCACAAATAACCCCATTGTTCTTATCAGAAAAGTCTTCAAGTATCAAGGCACATTAAAGTTTTTAATGTATTTGCAAGGTTTCCAAAGTTTAATTTTGCACGAAATCTCATTTTTCTTTGGCTATAAATGTTCTTAGCTGTTTTACTGTATGTATCAGAATCCCTTTGATCATTTTGAGAAAATGTCTTTTAAGTACCCAAGTCTAAATGACTATTATTTATCTGCCAGTATTTCTTTCAAGTGAAAATAATACTCTCTCTCACACACACACTCTCACAAAAATAACCAAACTCCAGTTCACAAACGACTGCATAAATGCTTTTCCCTGAGATAATCACTGTAGTTCAGTATAAAATATGGTGCTTCATAGTAACCATTTCTAAGAAAGAAAATGCCAGGTTATATCCATACATGGTCCTTGGTGGAGTGTCAGTCTCAGAAAAGACCCCTGTGCCCAGATATATTTGGTCCTTGTGGAGCTCCTATCCTTTCCACGTCATACTAACTCCCCCTTCTTTCATATGATTCCCTGCATTCTGCAGAAGGTTTGGTTATGAGTCTTAGTATCTGCTTTGATACACTGCTAGGTAGAGTCTTTCAGAGGCCCTCTGAGGTAGGCTCCTGTCCTGTTACTTGTTTTCTACTACTTCCAATGGACATCCCATTTGTCTTCCTAAGTGAGGATTGATCATTTTACCCTGGGTCCTCTTTCTTGTATATCTTCCTTAGGTGTTTAGATTTCTTTATGTTTGCCATATCTTATAGGTCTATATGAGTGAGTATATACCATGTGTGTCTTTGCCCTTCTGGGATACCTCACTCAGAATTGAACCTCTGTTCGGATGTAGCCCATGGTAGCTCAGTAACCAATTGGTTTCTCATAGTAAAGGGAACAGGGAGTATTTCTGACAGGAACTCAATGGCAGGTGCTTTGACCACCCCACCCCCCAAAGGAGGAGCAGTCCTGCTAGGCAACAGAGGAGGATTTTGCAGCCAGTCCTGAAGATACGTGATAAAATAGGGTCAGATGAAAGGGGAGTAGGGCCTCCCTAATCAGTGGACTTGGAAAGGGACAGGGAGGAGATGAGGGAAGGAGGGAGGGATTGGGAGAAAATGGGGGAGCAGGATACATCTTGGACACAGAGTTAATAAAATGGAACTAATAATAAAAAATAAAAATTAAAAATAGAAAATTCTAAAGGGTATTTAATCAAGATTTTTAATTAATATTTTATTGCTTTTCATAAGACACACTAGGTAAAACTATCATGACAGTTTGCGTGTGTGTGTGTGTGTGTGTGTGTGTGTGTGTGTGTGTGTATTCCTAGAGAGGAAACATAGGGCTTCACATCCCCTACCTTCATGTTCTTACTGCTAATTTATATATGCTAACTTTTTCCCCCTGAGACAGAAACAACTGCCTATTCACTCAAGATGGCGGTGACAGAACAACATATGAATTACCAAAGTCCAACTTTATGATACAAATTATTTAAATAGAGCATAAGTGTGGGATTAATTACAGGACCAAACAGCTACATGCCTTCATATCAAAAATCTCACCCCAGTGGATCTTCCTCCCTTAGGTACAGCTGAAACACCAATGCACACTGTCAAACCAGTGGACTTCTCTCATCTTCCTGAAGAATACTCCAGACAGCAGAGAAAGACAGAAGTACAGACTCTAGGAACAAACAGTGAAGGTTATGAATAACCAGGTGGGCAGAGGTTAGCATAAGAACACAAAAACAAAAATGAAGACATCATGGCTCCCTGGTGGGATCCAAAACCAATGGATATTTTAATTCAGTGGAAACACAGGAAAATGACTTTAAAACTATGCTTATCCAGGTATTAAAGGCACATAAAGAGGATATGAACAAATCTCTCAGGGAAATAGCTATCCAAGTGGAGGCAAGTAAAGAGGAAATGAACAAAGCTCTGAAAGAAACACAGACAAATATAGCCACACAAGTGGAGGCACAATTAGTGATATATAGAGAGGAAATGAACAACAAAAAAAAAAAAAAATAGAAGCCATCATAGAAAGGGAAAACAGAATTAGAACAACAACAACAACAAAAAAAAAAAACCACACAAACAAAGAAAACAGTGGAGCTAGAGAACTTAGAGGAAAGATCAGGAACCACAAAGGTAAGCATCAACAACAGAATACAAGAGATGGAAGAGAAAATGCCTGGTGGTGAAGATACACTTGCAGAAATTGATACTTCTCTCAAAGAAAAAGTAAAATATGAAAAGCCCCAAACACAAAACACCCAAGGAATCAAGAATTCCATGAAAAGACAAAACCTAAGAATAATAGGCAGTTCTTGCAGCGGCGGCCAGGCAGCGCAGCAGCTCCTTTGCAGGCTCGGTGTAGCATGTGTCTCCCATCCCACACAGCCACGCTGCCCAAGAGGAAGGTTAGCATGGAAGGAGCGGCGAAGGTGGAGCCCAAGCGCCGCTTGGCGAGGCTGTTGGGCAAGCCTGCACCCACCAAGGTGGACGCCAAGCCGAAGAAGGCCGCCGGGAAGGATAAATCATCAGACAAAAAAGTGCAAACAAAAGGGAAGAGGATAGCAAAGGGCAAACAGGCTGAAGTGATTGACCAGCAAGCTGCAGATCTGCCTGCAGAAAATGGAGAGATGGAGAACCAGAATCCAGCCTCTGAAGGAGAAGAGAAAGAAGCCATGTCCGACTAACCATCCATCGTGTATGTCAGTGGTCCTTGCCTCCCTTTTTGTATAATCCAGAGGAATATTTTTATTAGCTATTTTGTAAATGTGAGTTTTTTAGTAGCTCTAGAAACATTTTTAAGAGGTGGGGGAGTCCCACATCATCCCATTTTTTAAGTGTAAATGATTTTTTAAGAGGTTAAATCATTTGCTGGTTGTTTATTTTTTGTACAACCTGAAAATAGCAGGATACTGAATCAGGAGAGGTTGTGACTGTCTCGGGGGTCACCATAACATTCCGTAGAAGGGCTAGTTTTATAGCCTACAACACAAAGCATACTAAACGGCAATTTGGAGTCTCCATTTTACATTTGTGTCTGGAATATTTTCAGTTATATCCGGTCTCATTCGTGTTTCCTAAGAAAACCACTCCCTGACCCTTGCCCTGTCAGAACACAATGTCTCTGGTCATGGCCATCCATTTTCCTAACAATGGTGATAATGTGCTGTGAAAGATGGAAATGCTGTAGGTACTATTTGTGGCATAAAATTGTGGCTCGGTGGAATTGAGGATTATGAATATTTGATTGTTATGTGAGGTCTTAAGGAAAACTTGTCAAATTTGAGTCCTGAACCTCATTGTAATAAGTTCAAAGAGACTATATGTGGCTCTTCATTTAGGTACGTGAACATAGTATATGGCTCTTCATTTGAGTATGTGAACACAATGTGTGACCTCAAAGTTTGGGTACTTGTGTTAAGAATTGAAGTGTCTTGTGTGCTCTGCTAGTTGTGAAAGAGTAAAAAAAAAAAAAAAAAAAAAAAAAAAAAAAAAAAAAAAAAAAAAAAAGATTCCAAGCTCCAAGGTCCAAAAGAATATTTTTAAGAAAATGATAGAAGAAAAATTTTCCAACTTAAAGAAACAGCTGTCTATAAACATCCAAGAAGCCTACAGAACACCAAATAGACCAAAAAAGAAATTCTTCACATCATATCATGTCAAAACACTAAACCTACAGTACAAAGAAAAAATATTAAAGGCAACAAGGGGAAAAGGCTGACTATCATGTAAAGGTAGAACTATCAGAATCACTCCAGACTTCTCAACAGAAACTATGAAAGCCAAAAGGAACTGGGCAGATGTCATGCAGACCTTAAGTGACCACAGATGCCAACCCCAGACTACTATACCCAGCAAAGCTTTCAATCAATATAGATGAAGAAAGCAAAATATTCGATGACAAAACTAAATTTAAACAATATCTACACAACAACTCAGTCCTACAGAAGACAACAGAAGGAAAACTCCAATCCAATGAAAACAACTACATAATAGAAAACATAGGATACAGATAATTTTCACACACACACACACACACACACACACACACACAAAAATTAAAAGGAAACAAGCAATGAATCACAGGAACAACACTAACTCCACAATAAAAGGAACTAACATTCATTGGTCACTATAATCTAACAACATCAATGGACTCAACTCTCCAATAAAAAGACAAATACTAACAGAATTGTAGCAAAAACAGGATCCAACATTCTGTTGCATCAAAGAAACACATCTCTGCAACAAAGATAAATATTACCTCAGAATAAAGGGCTGGAAAAATGTTTTTCAAGCAAATGGACCCAGAAAACAAGCTGGGGTAGATATCTTAATATCTAATAAAAAATAAATTTCAACCAGAATTAATCAAAAAAGATAAGGAGGGTCACTTCATTATCATTAAAAGAAAAATCCACCAGGAAAACATCATAATTCTCAACATTTATATCCCAAATACAAGAATGCCTACATTTGTAAATGAAACATTATTAAAGCTTAAATCACACATCACATCGATCCCAACATCTTAACAGTGGGTGACTTCAATGAGACATAAACGCACTTACAGAGGCCCTAAATCAAATGAACCTAATACATGTCTATAGAACTTTTCACCCAAATTGAAAACACTGTACCTTCTTTTCAGCATCTCATGGGACCTTGTCCAAAATAGACCATATAGTTGGTCACAAACAAAGCTTCAAAAGATACAAGAAGATTGAAATAATCCCTTGTACTCTTTCTGACCAACATGGACTAAAACTGGACCTCAACAACAACAGAAGTAGCAAAAAGCCTACACACACATGGAAACAGAAAAACTCACTACCCAATGACAGCTGGATTAGGAAGAAATAAAGAAAGAAATTGAAGACTTCCCAGAATTCAATGAAAATGAAGGTACAACATAGCCAAACTTATGTGACACAATGAAAGCAGTGCCCAGAGGAAAATTCATAGCACTAAGTGACCTCAAGAAGTAATTGGAAACATCTCATATAAGCAATTTAATGGCCCACCTGAAAGTCCTGGAAAAAAAAAAGAAGCTGATACAACCAAGAAGAGTAGACTGCTGGAAAAAATCAAACTCAGCTGAAATCAATAAATTAGAATCAAATAAAACCTTTCAAAGAATCAATGAAACTGAGAGCTGTTTCTTTGAGAAAATCAAGAAGATAGACAATCCTTAGACAAACTAACTAAAAGGCAGAGAAAAACTGTTCAAGTCAGCAAAATCAGAAATGAAAAGGGGGACGAAACTACAGACATTGAGGAAATCCAAACAATTATTATGTCTTACTACAAAAGCCTATATGCCACAAAATTTGAAAATCTAAAGGAAATGGACAATTTGCTTGATCAATTCTATTAAACAAAATTAACTCAAGATCTTATAGAAAGATTAATAGTTCTATAACCCCCAAGGAAATAGAAGCAGTCATCAAATTCTTCCATTAAAAAAAGCCCAGGGCCAGATGGTTTCTGTACAGAATTCTACCAGACCATCAAAGAATTGCTAACTCCAATTCTCTTCAAATTATTCCACGAAATAGAACAGAAGGAACATTACCAAACTCATTCTATGAATCCACAGTCACCTTGATATATAAACCACACAAAGACCCAACAAAAAAGAGAACTTCAGACGTATCTCTCTTATGAACATTGATGCAAAAATACTAAATAAAATACTGGCACACCAAATCCAAGAACAAGTAAAAGATATCATCCATCATGACCAAGTAGGCTTCAACCTAGGCAAGCAGGGTTGGTTCAATATATGGAAATCCATCAATGTAATCCATCATATAAACAAACTGAAGGAGAAAAACCACATAATCATCTCCTTGGATTCCAAAAAAGCATTTGACAAAATCCAACTCCCATTCATGTTTAAAGTCTTGGAGAGATCACGGATACAAGGCACATACATAAATATAGTAAAGACAATATATAGCAATACTATAGTCAATATCAAACTCAATGAAGAGAAACTTAAATCCATCCCACAGAAATCAGGGACAAGGCAATGCTGCCCACTGTCTCCATAGCTCTTCAACATAGTACTTGAAGTCCTAGATAGAGCAAGAAGAATACTAAAGGAAATCAAGGGGATACAAATCAGAAAGGAAGAAGTCAAAGTATCACTATTTGCAGATGATATGATAGTCTACATGAGCAACCCCAAAAATTTATCCAGAGAACTCCTTCAGCTGATAAACACCTTCAGCAAAGTGGCTGGATACAAAATTAACTCAAAGAAATTGGAAACCCTCATGTATACCAAAGACAAAAGGCCTGAGAAAGAAAGTAGGGAAACAACACCCTTCACAATAGCCACTAATAGCATCAAGTACCTTTGTGTGACTCTAACCAAGGAAGTGAAAGACCTGTTCGAAAATATATTCAAGTCTCTGAAGAAAGAAATTGAAGAAGATATCAGAAGATGGAAAGATCTCAAGTGCACATGAATTGGTAGGATAAACACAGTGAAAATGGCCATCGTGCCAAAAGCAATCCACAGATTCAATGCAATTCCCATCAAAATACCAACACAATTCTTAACAAAACTTGGAATAAATATTCTCAACTTCATATGGAAAAACAACAACAACAACAACAACAAAACAGAATTGTCAAAGCAATCCTGTACAACATCTGATCATCTAGAGTTATTTCCATCTCTCATTTCAAGCGGTACTACAGAGCAATAGTAATAAAAACTTTATCATATTGATATTGAAACAGAATGGTGGATCAACGGAATCTAATTGAAGACCCAGAAATGAACTCACACACCTATAAATACTTGATTTTTTACAAAGAAACAAAAATCATACAATGGAAAAAAGACAGCAACAAATGGTACTGGTCAAATTGTATGTCTACATGTAGAAAAATGCAAATAGATACATATTTATCACCCTGCCAAAACTAAAGTCCATGTGAATCAAAGACCTCAACATAAAACCAAACACACCAAATCAGTTAGAAGAAAAATTTGGAAGAGCCTAGAACTCATTGGCACAGGAGACAACTTCTTGAACAGAACACCAACAGCATAGTCTCTAAGATTAATAATCAATAAATGGGACCTCATGAAACTGAAAAGCTTCTGTAAAGCCAAGGACACTGTTATCAGAACAAAATGACAGCCTACAGACTGGGAAAGGATCTTCCCCAACTCTATATCTGACAGAGGGCTAAATCCAGAATCTATAAAGAACTCAAGAATTAAAAAATAAACAAATCAAGTAATCCAATTAAAAAATTGGATTGAGATCTAAACAGAGAAATCTCTGTAGAGGAATATAGAATGGCAGAGAAACACTTAAAGAAATGCTCAGCGTCCTCAGTCATCAGGGAGATGCAAATCAAAAGGACCCTTAGATTTCACCTTACACCCATCAGAATGGCTAAGATCAAAAACTCAAGTTACAATACATGCTGGAAAGGATGTGAAGAAAGAGGAATCCTCTTCCATTACTCCTCCAATGTAAAGTTGTACAACAACTTCAGAAATCAATCTGGCACTTTCTCAGACAATTCAGAATAGTGTTTCCTCAAGATCTAGCTATACCATTCATAGGGACATCTACAAAATATGTTCAAGTACACAAGAACATTTGTTCAGCCATGTTCATAGCAGCTTTATTTGCAATAGCCAGAACCTGGAAACAAC